AGGTATGTTTTTTACGCGTCTACATTTTGCAACCTCGCAGCAGGGTTGCATTATGGCAATACTAATCACATTTTTTTTATTTATTGGGCACGTTTTCCGTATTTGCATTTAATTTCAGCGTAATTTCTGATGAAAAGAAACAAATCAAGGAAAAGGAATAACAAATATTACGAATTGGTAATTAAGTTAAATAATTACAATTTTTCAGAAACAAAATCGAAAGGCGACATATAAACAATGCACGCAAACAAGAAATGTCTGGCAACACCAGCAAAGTTTTGAGACGATTTTGCGACGACTGCTAGAAAGGGGTGCTCACAGTTTGATGCTAAAAATGTCTCAAAATGTAGACGTCTACATTTTCAGACACAATTTGGAACGAACTGTGAACACCCCAAATGTTCAAATTTGTCAAGTTTAAAAACGCATATCTCCCAGCCGAAAAATGATAGAAAGCTGAAAGCTTACCACCAAATGTAGAATTTAATGTGGAATAAACCTGTGTTTTTAATATAAAAAAAGGATTTTTAAAAATTGATTTTTGAGCACGCTTGGCCCAATTGTGGGGCGTTCAAGTTAGGTTTGATGCCTATCGACCAGTTGAGAAAAAGTAGCACGGGCCCATAGATTTGTATATTTGTAATTCATATTTATATTTTTTTATAAATCTCTCCAGGAACTAAACAAAAAATTCCCTGAACTCTTTACCATGCTGTTAACATCTTTGGCCACCTACACGAACTTAGCGCCACCTGTGCACGCAGGCAGTCAGCGCAGCAACTCGCCAACTCAACAGGGCGTCGCCGCCTCGAGCAGCTCACTATCCACGGTCGCCTCAACGACCAAATCGAAGTTTGGCTTTGTCCCGAACAAGGATCTAGTTAAGTTGAATCCCTGTCAAATTGTATTGGAAACTTTTCAAGCATTCCTCGGCAATCTAGAAATGGAACAAATCGCTACCGTGCTCACAGTGCACACCCAATTGGCCAGCAGTACCGATCTGAAAAACTACATTGAATTGCTAACACCAATTGCTATTGGGCTAGTGAATCAATTGCAAATCTCATCGAGCACTATGAAACAGGTCGTCACTGCGCTTAGCAAATATGTTGCATCACCATATGATGGTCAACGGATTGCTGCAGTGGGTTTGTTCTCACGTCTTGTGCCGCTGAAACCATGCGGAGAAATTTCTTCAGTGATTATGTTGCACTTAAGCTCGGCGCTGAGTGATCCTAATGCCGTTGTGCGTGGAATAAGCATACAAGGTTTAGGATACGTGGGAAGTCTGACTGACCACGATATCGAAAAATACACGGAAACCGCAGTGACCGCACTGTTGAAAGGCATTGATGACACTGCTAGGTGAGTACCATTTTAATCAGTTGGGGGAATTCTAAAAAACTAGTACATTTTCATTGCAGTGACTGCCTTATAAATATTCCACTCGAAAGCATGCGCGGACTAGCACGCATTTTACAGACATTGCCCAGTGATCGTCTAGAATCATTTCATGTCTCGTTAGCGATACGTATTCGGCCTTTTTTCGGCAGCTATTCAAACGAGATACGCGAGGCGTCCATTATTCTCTTTGGCGATCTATGTGAGTCGAAAAAGGCACACGATGCCAATGGCAGCATTTCGCCGAATGCTTCCTCTACAGAGGCGCTGCGGGAGCAATTAATTGCAAACCTATTTCCAATTTTGTTACATTTGAGTGAGGGTGATGCGACAATAATTAGAGTGAGATGGATATTGTTAGACCTACTATGTTCGATGTCAACTTAAAACATTTTCAGGCATGCAAAGGTACTTTACGAAAGGTTTGTGGCTTGTTGAATGCACCAAAAGTGAATGAAATGGCACAACGGCATCTAATCGACCATGGACAGTTAAACTATGGCGTTTTTATAGTCGACTTTGTTAAATTAATTGTAAGCAAGTTGATATTGTACTGGAGTTTTTTCTTAAGATACGGTTTGTTTTCAGGCTATGGATTTGCCAGATTTTATACAGGACTTCATTGACTCGGCAATACCGAAATTGCGTAGCCAATGGGCAGAGGTGCGGGGCAGCGCTGCGATTGTAATAGGTGAATCGCTAATTGTTATTTGAATCAAATATGATCTAATTACCTCAACTCTTGACAGGTATACTCCACAACTTCCTGCCGGAACGGAATACGCAAACCGAGTCCGTGGGAAATAAACTAGCCGCTCTACTAAAAGACGAAAATCATTTTGTTCGCGTTAAGGCAGCCACGGCATTGGGCTATTTCTTTGGGGACATTTGAAAGGAAAAAACCGTTGGCATTTCAGCTAGAAATCAGTAGTGATTTTTTTTAATGCGAATAAAAGCATATGGTCTTATTCCCAAAAAATAAAGTAGGTTTAAAAAGCTTTATAAAATGACGTTTTCATACATTTTTCAATTTATAAAGCTACTTTATTTTTTATGAACCAGGCTAATAGAATTTTGAAAATGCAGTGTACCTTAAAGTATATTATATTAAATAGCACTGTGAATACGTGTCAATGTGATTATAGAAAACTAGAATAATCTTTACTATATGGGACTTTTTCGTATACTGGTATATACATACGTACATTGAACAAATGATTGTCGTATATTACATTTGACGACTTTTGGGAAATCGCGATCGAAGTTTAAAGTCTGTTTTCTTGAAAACGTGGTGGTAGATTCCTTTGAAAATTTTATATGTTGTTTCCAGCTGAAGGAAATATTGGAATTTATTATTAAAAAAAGTTGCACAAAATCTGCAACATTAATTGCTAATTTTATTTACTCACACTTTGTCGTCTGTACAGTTGACAACTTGGTTGTGCTCAATTCATAAACATGCGACAAATTACTAGCAAAATATCACACAAATCATATGGAGGATAACTTTAATTTCAGCTTTATTTGAACATCAAAATATATTAAAGGAAGCATAAGACAAGTCATATTTAAGCAAAAAACAAAACCGACTTCGATTCTCTTATAAAAATTTAAGAGTACCGTTAATTTCTTCATGATCCAAATTAGTTACTAACATTCCTTTAAAAATATATGTATTATAGTAATCGGTTAATAGACCACCACGTTATTCGGTAACAAAAAAAAATACAAATATTCCGACGAACTAATAACCTTCTCTTTTTTTGAAATCGGCTAAAAATAGTTCTTACAAATCTAGTAAATATGTATAAAAATTCAATTCACCTTCACAAAAAAACTTAGTATGTATTTAAAAACAATAGTACCTTAATATTGAAAGGTCCTATCTAAAATTTTTGTTTATTTGCAAAATGATTGAAAACTTAACACAACTTTCAATTCTTTAATTATAAATTTATTTACAATACTGTTTTCAATTGAGCACTATAATTAATTAAATGCTATAGTAGTTGTTTTTGAATTGCATTAAGTTTTCAGTGAGTAATTTACCGACATTTGTACCAAGCACATAAGTATGTACATACATATGTATGTGAGACGTTTTAATTACATTTTTAATATGGTTCTGTAGAAGCATTTGTCTCTTTCTTTCTCCACCAAGTAATTTTTAAGCAAAAAGCAGACTTCAATTCTAATATAAAATTTTAGAACTACCGTTAATTTCTTCATGATCCCATGATCAAATCTAAACCAGTATAGGACCACCCTTGAGGTACGACCGATAAAAAAAAATATCAAAATCGGTTGACGAGATTCAAAGTTATGCGGTAACATACACAAAAAACAAGATAAAATAAAATATTCCGACGAATTAATAACCTACTCCTTTTGAAGTCGGTTAAAAATATAATATAACTTTGCTTATTTGGAGTAAGTCGAAGCAAGTCCGTGCGCTTTAACATCGCGAATGACACTGAAATTTTTACGCTCAATGCTTGCTCAGTAGTAATTCCGAACAAGATTCAAATTTTGTTGTTGTTGTAGTAGCTACAACAACCCCGCCCAGATCGGTTAATATCTCAGTCGTCGTCAAGTTCCTCTTACGACAGTCCTAAGAAGCGTGCAGCTGCAATAGGGTCGGTCCACAGGGACAAAAGCGTTAGGGTTGTCGGGTTTTCCGGGCATACGAAAAGATGTTTCGAGTCATGGCGTGTCTCTCCGCATGCCGGACACTCATTTGGTACATCTGCGTTTAGTCTGCTCAGGTATGAGTTTAACCTTATGCAGTAGGCAGAGCGAAGTTGGGTGGTTCTTGTCTCCCGAGGCAGATGAAGCTCTGCCTCCTCAATGTTCGGTGGTTGTGCGCCTAGAACGGCATTCACAGGTCTGGAGTCTACATAATTCGAGACTGACTCCCTGTGAATGCCATTCAGGTCCTGTCAAATTTTGTCGTATGTGATCTCTCACATACAACAATTTTTTTGTTGAGACTTATAAACACTAAATTTGTATATCTCGAAATCTAAAGGAGATATCAAAAAACTGATAAAGCCATTTGAAAGATCTTGATGAGTTTAGTTTAACTGCATTATTAACTTAATTTGGCCCAATTTTCACATACGACAATCATTTGTTCAGGCGACGATTTATACTCATGAATTATTGTATTTTCTTTTTTATATCTTACGTTTGTGAAGAACGCGTGTAATTCTTTCGATGCACACTTGGTAATCTTAACTTGCAATTTGTTGTTTGAAAATCTGCATTATCCGTTGACAAAGGCCTTATTTTTGTTGTATATATTTGTTTATTGAACATTAAATGTAAATTATATAGTGATTTACCTCATATAATAAATACAAAGACCATTTTAATATTTATGTACCTAAACTTTGCAACTTTGTATTACTTTTATTTCACATATTACCAAATGGAAAATATTCTATACGACCACTGGACCAACCAATAGTTAAAACGGTGTCCGTATTACGCCGATTTATGCTTTGAAAGCAGATATATGAGGGAAACTCTGTGCCCATGCCGGTGAGAAAACAGAGTGGCGAAATTGTCATATCGAATTTTTTCAAACAAGTATTAAAGAGTGCAATACAAGGTGTGTCTTTGAATATAACAGCTAAATATCTGCCATCTGCATCCCAGGCTAAAGATTGTGGCTTGCCGCCGACCTCACGACGACCAGCATTGAACTTGGTTAAGTCAGCAATTTTTAACGCATCCTTGGTGGAGGTACCAGCTATGATAAAAAAGTAAAAATTAGTTTTTCTCCTGAATAAAAAAATAAATTAACAACGCGTATATTGCTTAGTTGGGCTGTGGGCAGCATTATACAAGCCACGACTGTGCTAGTGTCGCGGCTCACCTGTAGCTTGCCTTATCAGGAAATTTTACTATCAGCAACTGCCAGCAGATGGCTTGAGCAACACTCTATACATTTTTATAAATTTAACAAATGCTCGGAGGTGCACGTTGCCTTGAATTTTGTTGTTGTAGCGGCACTACTAAGCCCCGGCTATTTCGGGTCAACCTTCAATCTTTGTCGTCAGCCTCAAGTAACGGTAGGCCCCAGACCAAAGGGAGAGGCGTGTCAGTTGAGTAGGATTGAGGACATGGCGGGCAGTCATTGAGGTCGAGTCTGGACAGGTAGCTGTTGAGGCGGCTACAATATCCAGACCGTAACTGAGCCAGGGTAACGCGGGTCTCTCTTGGCAGTTGAAGCTCCGTCTCTTCTGCAGGGGGCGATTGGGCTCCGATCACGGCATTCATATACGGGAGTCGAGGTAGGTGGTGACCTCCAGAAGCTGCTTACAAAGCATTTTGTTCTGCTCTCTTACCGGGAACACTTGGGCCTCGCTGTGTAGGTGGTGCTCAGGCGCCATCAGAAGGCACCCAGTCTCGCTGTCCGGAGTGCGGCTTTCTGACAAGTCTGTAGCTTCGTCCACTGCGTCCAACTAGTTCCCGGCGTCCAAACTCGTGCTGCGTAATTTAGAACCGGCCGGCCAATTGCCTTGTATGTTGCCAGCAACGTTTCTTTGTCTTTGCCCCAATGCTGGCGGCGAGCGGCTTGAGGAACTTGTTGCGGCTCTGTACTTTGTTGACAACTGCGGTTGTGTGCGTGGAGGAGAGCAGGCTATCAAAGGTGACCCCTAAAATTTTCGGGTTGTTTACTGTCGGTATTGGTGTGCCATCGACGTGAATTCTTAATTTTAGCCTGACCTCCTTCGTCCAGGTGGTGAAGAGGGTCGCCGTTGATTTCGTTGGGGAGAGTGTTAGGCTCCTTGCAGTGAAGAAGCGAGAAAGGCTGGAAAGGTAGCCGTTTACTGAGGTCATAAATTTCATTCCCAGACGCCAATATCGAGCAGTTGCCAGCGTACGAGATCAGGGAAACTCCGTCAGGTGGCTGGGGGAGCTTCGAGATGTAGAAGTTGAACAGTAAGGGGTAGAGACCACCACTTTGTGGAACCCCTTGTTTTATTCTTCTTGGTTTCGAGCTTTAATCTGTGAAAATTACTGACGATTGTCGAACACTCATATAATTCGCCGAACATCGATTCAGACTCTGCGGGAGTGAAGAGGCCACAATCTCTTCTAGCACCGTGGAATGGCAGTCGGTGTCAAATGCCTTTGATAAGTCCTACACTACTGGGACCGTTCTCTCACAGGGGCGGTTGCGATTTAGGCAACGAGTTATTTGGGTGTTTATGGGGTTAAATGCTGTTGCTGGGCTGTGCACTTTACGGAAGCCATGCTAATGCTTCGCTAGGGTTAGGGGGGCATGTGAAATACTACGGAAGTAACAGTTCCTCCAGTGTCTACGCGACCGGGGAAAGGAGCGTTTTCGGGCGATAAGTCTCCTTTGTTGGCGGGATTCCCCGGTTTCAGCAGTGGGAACACTCTCCCTGATTTCCATTCATCAGGAATGATGAGAGTGGTCGTTGACAGGTTGAGGACCTCCGTTAGGTATGCTACTCCCACGGGCCCCAAATGTTTTAGCATCAGCATACAGATTTCGTCAGATCCAAGGGCTTTGGAGGCTTTCGCCTTCCCGATGACCCCTTTATATTCACCGCTTGTGAAAACAAGTGGTGCACTGTTTTTGGGCAATTTGTGTATCCTCCTGGTCCCTCGACATTTGGCCTTGTCTACCGAAGGACAAATTGCCGACCAAAGTAGTTTGCGCATTTCTTCGGGTCCGACGAAGCGCGACTTCAAATGAGATTTCCACTCTGTCGTCACGGTCGACGGGTTGGACAAGGACCTCCCGGTTGACCAGAGCTTACTCACGCCAGAGGTGAAGTTACCGGCCTTCAAGTGCTCTTTCCACTTTTTCGCTTGTACTGATTTACCAGTTGCCGAATCTCCAAATTAAGGGCCTTCAAGCGATGATCCGCGGGATCGACCTGGCGTAGGTGGTTGTTGTTGTAGCAGCATACAAGTGCCCCAAAGAGTTTTTGGGGAGTGTTGCTGGAGTGACAGTCCTTGGCCAAATATAAATCTGGATCGTTCCGGTAACGTAGTCCCGACTGTCGT